TTTTTTTTTTTGAGACAGTGTCTCACTCTGTCATCCAGGCTGGAGTTAAATGGCACAATCTCAGCTCACTGTAACTTCTGGCTCCTGGGTTCAAGTGATCCTCCTGCCTCAGCCTCCCAAATAGTTGAGATTACAGGCGCCTACCAACACACCCGGCTAACTTTTGTATTTTTAGTAGAGACAGGTTTCACCATGTTGGCCAGGCTGGTCTTGAACTCCTGACCTCAAGTGATTCACCCACCTCGGCCTCTCAAAGTGCTGGGATTACAGGCCTGAGCCACTGCACATAACCAAGATCTGAATTCAGACAAACTTTTTTGGTCTTAGGACATTTCGGCCGGGCGGAATGGCTCACACCTGCAATCCCAGCACTGTGAGAGGACAAGGAGGGCCAATCACCTGAGGTCAAGAGTTCGAGACCAGCCTGGCCAACATGGTGAAACCCCATCTCTACTAAAAATGCAAAATATTAGCTCAGCGTGGTGGCACACACCTGCAATCCTAGCTACTTGGGAGGCTGAGGCAGGAGAATTGTGTGAATCCAGGAAGCCGAGGTTGCAGTGAGCCAAGGACATTTGTAGGTCATTCAGAGAAGTGTAAACACTAATTCGTATTTGCTATTAGGAAAATATTGTTTTTGGGTCCGAGTGACAGTTTTATGTGTGTATGAAACATAATGTAAACGTATTAAAAAGGGAATGCTTGTCCTTTAAAGGCATACACTGAAATGTTTACTGGTGAAAGCACATGATGTTATGATGGCTGGTATTTACTTCAAAATAATGCTGGGCAGTGGGTGTGAGGTAGGTGCAGAAACAGAGGAAACAAGATTGGAAGATTGGCCATGAGTGGTAACTGCTGAGGTCAGATAGCAACTATGCGGCTTCATCGGGTTATTCCACTTCTGTATATCTTGAAAATTTCTTTTTTTAATTTTACTTTATTATTTTATTTATTTTTTAATAGAGACGGTCTTTTGCCATGTGGGCCAGGCTGGTCTCCAACTCCTTGACCTCAGGTGATCCGCTCGCCTTGGCTTCCCAAAGTGCTGGGATTATAGACGTGAGCCAACACGCCCGGCCAGTATCTTGAAATTTTCTACAAGAAAAATGTCTTAAAATTGTGCGTCAAAATAATACTAATATAAAAAAATGCAATTAAAAAGTCAGGAGGCAATACTGTCAGGCAAAACCATGACGCTAGTTGTGTGAGGGCGGTAGGATGAGTCATTTCCTCCAAAACTCGGGGTGAGAGGGGGAACCCTCGTGTTTTTGCCCTCCCTGTCCCTGAAGGGACTGTTCTCATCGATTCTCTCCCCCTCGTCCTCCAGGTTTTTGCTAGGCTCCCTGTCTTCTTACCAAGTTGAGATTATCCGGGTTCTGGCATTAGCAGGGTTTGAGGAAAGCGGATCAATTCCTCGAACCCCTAACCTTGGACCCTGCCTGCAGGCTGATTTCTCAGCCACTCGCCAGAGCACGGCGACCCCTAAGGTCGCAGTCCGTCTTCGCAAGCAGCCTGCTGCGGACGCGTTGGTAGCCCTTCCGCGCGCGCGCTCGAGCAGTGGGACTACATCTCCCAGGAGGTTGTGCGCCGACCAGCGGACATGCCCTTGGTCGCAAAGGACTACATTACCCAGTGAAACCTTGCGAGAGGCGGTGGCTGGACCTCAAGAGCAGAACCATTGGTTCAGCGTCTGGCGGGGGAGCTACGCAGTGATTGGCCCAGGAGCCCGCCAGTTTCGGCCAAGCTCAGTGGAGTTTTGCTATTAAGACTGCGCGAGGAGCTAGAGAGAGCAGAGTGCGCGGAGCCGGGCAGCACCCACCGAGCCATGTAAGTAACCTCTACCTCCGTCCTTCTCGCCGTCCTCCCGGGGACCTGCACCCTGGCTCCCAAGGGCGGTCGGGAGGGAGCATACGCACCAGGCGCTCACTAGGGGCGGGAATTGTGTGCACACGTGTCACACCTGACCTCAGAAGCATCTCCTGGGACACCGGTGGCAGAGCCCCGCGCACGCTCCTGAGCACCTGAGCTCTAGGGCGTCCCCTCGGACTCGGGGAGAAAAAACATACTCCGAGGCACACGTGAACATCTGTGTACGCAGGCGGGGACATCTGCAGAGCTGCTCAGCTGAACCCTTGGGCACATGGGTACCCGAACACCGGGAAAAGCCTCCTATTCTCCGGTCTCCTCCTGACACCGATCCAGGACACCTGCCACTCGGGCTTGCTCCTCCTTCCCACCCATCTGGGCGGGAAACTGACTGCTCAGTGTGACCTGAGCGGTCTCTGGGTAGCCCCTGGAGACGTGTTGCCTCTCCAGTCGCTTGCCGAATGTTTAGACTGCTCATGGGCTCCTGGGGAAGAGTTCCAGGGTGGGTGAGAGGAGAAAAGGAATGTCTGTGGTGAAGACTGTCATCCTGTAAGAAGTCTCTCTCACCCCCTCACCCCCGCCCCCTCCCCGGCCCCGTTACCACAAATATTCAAGGACTAGGGTAATTCTAAGTTTTAGTTTTAGGGATTTTTTTATTTTTATTTTTTTTTGCCGTAACAAATTAAAACATTATAGAATTACAGAAACAGGTCTCCCTTCCTTCTTCCCTTCCCAACCCTTCTCCCAGTGATCAGTTACCAACTGCCTGTTGATGCATGTGTGGTTATACACTTCTTTCTATGCATCGTACAACTCAACATAGCGTATATAGGTATTACTGGGTTTTCTTTGTTTTGTTTTTTGTTTTTACAAAAAAGGAAAAAAGTACATCTGGAAGGAATGCTTTTTAGCTGAGCTCTGGTGGATGAGAGGAGCTAGCCTTGGAAAAGTGAGTAGGGGCTGGGAGTGGGGCTGCATTTCAGATGTGGGGAACTGGAGGAGTGGAGGCAAGGCAGTAGAAAAGAGCACTCGCCGAGTTTTCCAGGAACTGGGCAGAAGCACTCAGACCACCCTGGTTAAGTGAGGAAAGGGGAAGAATGGTCCAGAGTGAGGCTGAAGAGGTCAGTAGGTCTGGGTTGGGGGGGGCCCAGGAGCATAATTTTTTTTTTTTGAGACAGAGTCTTGCCCTGTCACCAGGCGCTAGACTGAAGTGCAGTGGTGCGATCTCGGCTCACTGCAACCTCTGCCTCCCAGCTTCAAGCAATTCTCCTGCCTCAGCCTTCCGAGTAGCTGGGACTACAGGTGCACGCCACCACGCCCAGCTAATTTTTGTATTTTGGTAGAGATGGGGTTTCACCATGTTGGCCAGGATGGTCTTGAATTCTTGACTTCGTGATCCGCCCACCTTGGCCTCTCAAAGTGCTGGGATTACAGGCATGAGCCACCACACCTGGCCTTT